CTTGATTCCCCACCCCCTACACATCCCCTAGCTATGACCCTGATTTCCCCCATTAGTTGCTGCTCGGGGGGGGCGGGTATCTCGGCTTGCTTTTGGTGGATCGTTTCTGTCATTACCCACAATAAACCTTCGCATGTGTCCCCTTCGGATCAAATTCTCAATATGATCCTTAAGGTCAAAGCAATCCTCTGTGGTGTGCCCATGGTCTTTGTGGAACCTACAGTACTTATCACGAAGATTTCTCATCGAGTCCAACTTCAGCTTTGGTGGCCATTTCAGATATGGTTCATCCTGGATCTGTAGGAAAACTTGATCTATGGGCATATTAAAGGAGTGTAATTTGCATACCTCTCGCGTTCCTATAACGAGACGCTTTTTCATTCTGGTTGATAATGGGTTTCTTATACTTGGTTTCCTTTTTATCTCTGGTTGTCAGGGCCGGCCTTTTCTTGTCTGCCTTCTTATCATCCCCTTCCATTCCCTTTTCTTATAGTCATAGTATCTTCAACATTCATGTGTTTTTGAGCTCGGACCGATAACTCGGCCATGTTGGCAGGGGGCTGCTTTAATAAAGAGAAGAGGAATCTCAAGGTTTGGAGTCCTCCCATAAAGGCAGTCAGGACCACCTTGTCATCCGCCTCCTCTACCTACAACATCTCTGTATTAAAACGACCAATGTAGTCTCGCAGTAACTCTCCCTTCTGCTGCTTTACCGTGAGAAGGTAGGTAGCCAGCCTTCTATGCCTCTGGCTTGTAATGAAACAACCCACAAAGTGCTTACTCAATTCTTTAAAGGTTTCGATGGTTCCTGGCTTCAGTTTGTTGAACCATACCCGCGTTGTGCTTTGAGGGTCGTTGGGAAAGCCCTGCATAAGCACTTGAAAGGTCTCCAGTTGGTCGAGGGGATCTCTAGTTCCGTTGAAACTCTCAATTAAGGGCCTCCTAAATTTTCCTAGCAAAGGGCATTTCATAACCGAGGGGCTGAACGGCAAGTTAGTCTTCTGCACCAAACCATCTATGGCCGCAGTACCCACCCTTCATGGCTTGCATCACATCTTCCATCTTCACCTTGAGATCTTGCATCTGTAGATCAAAATGGGAAAACTCCTCAGTCTTTTCATTAGCTGTTGTGTCTCCATGGGGTCGAGAACTCCGTGGAAGAGATGGATGGATCACTTCTCTATATCGGTTCCCAACTTGGTTTTGCTCCACTTTGGTCTCATTTCGGGGAGGATTATTATCCCGCTCCTCAAGATTCCCATTACCACCGTTTGGATTCGGGAGATCTTGTCATGGGAAGTTCTGTTGAACCGGTGGACCCATTGGGACAAGATGTTATAGGAGCACTGCATTTTGCTGGATCAACTGGTCTATACCCTGATTCAAAGTTTGGACCTATAGTTCCAACGCTGCAAGCCATTCATGTCGTTTGGGACATCTGGGTGTTCACCCGACCCTTCCCCTTAACCAGATCCCTGCAACGATATTCCTTCGGTAACCATACTGAACCGCAAACGCAGATACCCAATTGAACAACTTATAGATTTAAGGGAATCGTCATTCCAACAAACGACGCCAACTCTTGGGGTTGAAATTCGCCACGGCCGAGTACGACACCGTTTCTTGTAAAATAAAGACGGCTGGCACCAGTGTGGTGCCGGCCGTATACCCTCCGACGATTAAGTTAGTGAGGGTTTTTAGAGAGAGAGAATTAAACTGTAATAGCTGAAATAGGATTTTTTGTATATCATACCTCATTCCATCGTCCCTTGTATTTATGGTGTTCTTGTCAATGTAGGCTGTTGAACAGAATCCCACTTGCAAAGATTTTGTTTATCATTAATAACCACTTCTAGTATCGTGGTTAACTGAATGTCGTCATCCTTATCGCAAACCCGTCATCATACGAAAGTTGAAGAGATCTGACGACTGGTCAACACTTGATTACTTCTATCATTAGGTCAAAGTAGGTTTTATTTTACCATGTCAGGTATGCAAGTGTTCGGTGTGAGTATCACCACTCTTTTAAGAAATACTGTTTCAAGTGAACAGTGTAACTTTGAAAAAAAAAAAAAGTAGGGAACTGTGTAACAACAAATTCTTTTATATGTAACTAAAATGACATTAATGAGCTGATAGCAATAAATGTCCTATAAAAATTACATCATCCATTTTTTTCAACATTTACATGACTTTATGTTGTAAGGAATAAAGACAGTTTCTAGCTGACAGTGTAAAAGAGAAAATTCTTTTATATATCCCCCTAGACGGACAATTGATCTACAACAGTAATGAGCTGATGACTATAAATACAGTTTGCAAATTATATCACTAACAAAAATTCAACATTTGCATGACTTTAGTTATAACAAATAAAGACTGTTTTTAGTTAACTGTGTAACGTTAAATTCTTTTATATATCAACCCAAAATAATAATTGATTTACAATAGTAATGAACTTATGACTAATAAATGCCGTTTAAAAACTATATCATCCAAAAAATTTCAGGTGCTTAAGTAGAACAATAAAGACTTTTAAAAGAATATCCGAACAATAGACTTTCCCAAGAACAATTTTTTCCACCATTTTTATGGATCCATATTACTTGAAGTGAAACACAAGTTCTTTCTTTTCTCTATTCCAAAAAAAAAAAAAAAAAAGTTCTCTTTCTAATTTTTGTATTACTTTTTGCTTGCCTGGCACATTTAATTTGAGTGATTGAACTTTTGGGATTAAATTAGTAGAACTCTAAAAAGAGTATCTCCAATGGTATATATATATATATATATTTTTTTTTTTTTTTGTATAAATCTGATGTGTCATTGATAGATTTAAACAAAAATTTTGAATTATTTATTTTTAGCTGTAACCTTTGTTTTATACCTTTTGTATAAAAATATATCACCCAATTAACAACAACCAACGATCATTAACAAATCAGTGCAATGTTTTTACCTGAGTTTGGAACCTGATCCTGAAGAACCAGTGATGAATAATCATGATGATAGATCGTTTAACGGACTGAAGGTAAAAGGCAATAGATTCAAAATTCTAATTAGTATGTCTTTCATCAAAATGCACCAATTCTTTCTGGTCAACAATCCACTAGGAATGAATTCTATGACTGTTTTGTTTCTTGAGGGAGATCCTTTTTACTCAATATTCTGCTATATCGTTGATCTTCAGATTCGACGCGGGATTGTTATCTTGTTAGTAAGAGATTTAGCATATTTAGTTCAATCAAGTATGACTGATATAGATGGTGAATGGAGCCAATTGACTACATGATCGACTTCAGCGCCATGAGCAGGATCTGGCTGATTGTTTCATTCGTCCACCAGATTTGTCTTCATCAGCCTTGAATAGAAAATTCCAACCAAGGTTGCAGCAATCTCTGTTACCAGAAAATATAGCCGTTATGACTCTTAACGGTTATGTGAAGATGGGGTTGGTCTGCTTGCTCTTTGTTTGGCCTTTTGTTTGGTCCCAATGACGGGTCTTGTCTTATGTTTTGTAATTGCCTTTTGGGTTTGCTGCCTGGGCTCTCCAAGACTGTTTGGTGGTCTGTCTATTTTTCTTTTCTATTCTGTACATTATTCTTGTTCCTTTTACCTAATACAATTATGGAGGCATTATCCAATCCCCTGGTTGGTAGAACAGTCAATTTCTCAAATAATGTGTTTGTATTCAGTCCCCCTTCCCCTAATTTGTTAAGCAAAACAGCGAGTGAAGGGAGAAAACGAAATATTTACATGGTTCGACACTAAATTTTTCCGAATCCATATTTTATGTAAGGAATGAGGTGTGTTTTCTTGAATGTCAATATCATCTCCTAAACAATTATCATGAGTTGGTCACACAGGTACAAAAGTTGGATGTTAGAGTTATTCATGAAAATAACAATACACATGCCAAGTGCGTTGGCTATGACGACTCCGAAATATTTTAATCAATTTTAATATTAATAATGTTGAGCCAGGCACTATACCACAAAAGTACTATCTGGTTTTGATTGAGATCTGACAACTGTAACGGAGTATATGTCAACAAATTGGATTTGGCTTACCCCAAATTGACATGTACAAATTACGGAGTAGTTAATTTTACACAATATCTCCGCACAAAAAAAAAATGGACATTTCACTCTTCTGTGCATTCTCGAAATAATATTGTTACAATATTGCATTTTAAATCAAACGTATTGTATAAATATTACTTTCTCGATATAATGACGTTAAACATTCACTTGAAAATATCATGTATTGAAAAGGTTCATATTCTTCCTAATCGTGCATGAAACACATTGGATGCTCTGCAACTTTAGAGCAATGTTTCCACTGCATTTAAAGTAAAATATTTATTTGTTTGTTTGTGGTGCAGGTGAATGTTGCAGATTTTTGGTTGTTCAAATCATGTGCACATGCATAGAACCTGAAAATAAGGACAAGAGGCATGAGCTGAAAAGTCAATGAGGTAAAGTTTATTATACATTTAGGAGAATAATCTAAGCGGGCACAAGAATAGAAGTCAATGTGAAAGTGGGAGTGTAAAAGTGATAAAATTTAAATCATACATGAAATAAAAGCGTGCACAGAATATAAAAGTCGTACATAAAAAAAAATAAATAAATAAATAAAAATAAAAATTGTCTAACTTAGATGTATACATCATTATTGTTAAATTTACATCCCAAATGTAACTGTGAGCACCTCTTTTCCTCTTTATGCAATATGAGTGCAAGGATCATCTCTTAGTAAAAAGCCCTCTGTGTTTTCTTTGCAAGAGTAATCTTGTTTCTGTATACAACGGTCACTTTTAAAGATGGTATTTATTATATACCAACTGTCATTTTTAAAGTGAAATAGATTTTTTTGGTTGAAGGAATTGAAAGGGAAAAAAGTGAAAAGAAGAGAGAAAGGAAACGATAAAAGGGTTTCAGTGATTACACAATTCTGGAAGTTGAACAAATTATCACTAATCTGCCAAAATTGATAACAAATTCTTAAAATGAACAGCTTTCTTTGATTCATGATTTTTTACATTTTTACCCAGATGGATTAAACCATCCAGGTGGGACTGCCTTGCTCCCTCCCTCCTAAGAAAATCTCCTTTCTCGTACAATTTCCAAAATCTTTTACATGGATCTATATATATAAATACAAAAAAGAATAAAAATACATATATCTAGTGACAGGCAGGCCTCTGCTACAAAGTTTTTGGTCCAGCCAAGCTGTGGATAACATTAAGTTTGGCAAAAGGGAAAAATGGTATACTGATATGAACCAGAAGCTTTAAGGAGATGAACTCTCGTCATCGGAGGAACTGTATTGCCGCCTTCCAGGGAGTCCACTAAAAGCCGGTGGCAGTGTCGGGTTCACTGGAACCGGAAATTTATGGGCAGAACTTACTATTGTTCGCTCGTTGATCATCCCAACTTCCTTGCAGACCCGGTCGAGAACTGTTAGAAAGTCCCTTACCACCATGAAGATTCTAAATGGGTGAGCTTCTTCTTTGGCTGAGTTTCCATGGAAGTACTCTGTTATTTCCTTCACTAGAGAGAGCGCTACACTCTCTTGGGCTTGAATCCTTATAATCTCCTCCTCAGCCATTTTCACAAACTTGTTCATTGAGTCAGAAAATATCCGGCTGCTTTCCTCTAACCCTGTCACTTCGATTAACCGTACAACCTCTGCTATGTTCGCAATTCCTTTAGAAAGCTTCAAGACATCGCTGTTAAGCACATCTGAATCCATGGCAGCAGATTTCTTCACATTTGTGAGCTCCAAACTGATACCAGATACTACTTGTAGACCTAGCTTCCTACACTTCTCATCATTTAAGGTGGATGTTGTACTTTGATTGGCAGCAGAAAGACGAGCACCTTCGCTTCTAATTATTTCCTGAACGACAAAATGCAACAGAGTGGTTTTCCCATCCGCACCCTTGACGTCAACAAGCTTGAGAAGCGTATCAAGCTTGAAGGCATGGGCATCACCTCGGTTTGTTCCAACATTCATCCGGTTCCCAGTCTTCAGTACAGCTTCTAGAAGCTTCAAAAACATCCTGCTGTTCCTTAGTTCCTCACAGGCTGTCTGTAAAATTAAAAACTTTTTGAGTGAATATTGCCAAGAACTAAACAATTTAATAGAAGATAAATCATGATTAACTCAGCTACCAAATATAATTTTTCTGCAAGTGAAGAAGCAACCCTAATTTGCATTAACCAAAGTTCAAGAAATATTTGAGTTCTAGTACTGCGATTGTGTAAATATCCACTAAACAAAGAACATCACACCACCCGGCTCATTGACCATTCACTCGTGTGATGTGATTGCTAACTATTTTACAATATCTAGTGTTGTACATCTAAAATCTTCACATTTTGGATGGTATTCTACAATATTCTTTAAACATATTTGTGTGTTGTTAAATCCTAGTTTTCTTATTGATTGTACTTGTGCTGATGAAAATGTTTCAAGCCTATGCAACCTAGCTTGCTAGGCATCAGAAATCTAACTAGAAACTGATGCCACTGGAGGCTGAGAACTGGCAAACATCCAAAAAATGCATAAAATTAAGCAACCTTTCTTAAAACTGATGTTGAAGTAATTGATTTACCTCTAGAGTTTCAAAAGATTTTTTGAGGTACTCAACCTCTGAATCAAAATTAGCTATGTAAAGCATTGCATCCACCCTTTTAAATGCAAAAGGTACTTCAAGCACTGCCTTCAGAAATCTCTCAGCAGGTCCAAGTTTGACTGGTGAATCATCTTTGTACTCTTTCAGTTTCCGTTCTTCCTCTTTAGTTGGAACCATCTTCAACAAACATTCAAGCAGCTCAGTTCCAAGCGTATCAACATTGCCTGCATACAAGTGCAAAACACGTTACTTAATTGCCCGAGCTAGTAAATATGGAGGTCTTTGGGTAAAGAATAATGCTCCATTTGTTAAAAAATAAATTTGAATCATATTATTTATTGCCTTGCAGCTTTGTGAGAGGTGCATCATGTGCACTGGTGTGCATAGTAATGAAGTATGCAGAATGTGATAAATGGGACATGCATGGCAAACTACTTACTGAAAAGCTGCAAGGCAATAATATGATGTTGAAGCATTACAGACTTGGTATTAGCTTAAGTATCTTATGTTTTAGCACTGAAACCATCAGGACAATTTTTTATAGCCATTCATGCAATATATTTTCCCCTCGTAACGAATGCAACCAAAAGTATGTCAAATATCAACAGGACGTTACAAACCCTATTTCTCAAACATGATCAAGTGTTGATGACAAATCGATAAATGAGACATGCATAGCAAACTACTTACTGAAAAGCTGCAAGGCAAAAATATGATGTTGAAGCACTATAGACTTAGTATTAACATAAGTATCTTAACTTTTAGCATTGAAAAATTAATATAAGTATCGACAGGACATTACACATCCAATTTCTTAAACATGACAGTGTCAATGACAAATCTCAAAAAAAAAAAACAATGCATAAAAAGAAAAAAAGAAAAATAAATAATAAATCAGTTTCTTGAAGGATACCAAATTGGCATGGTATGAGGTGAAAAATCTATGAGAGACAAAATAATTCTTGCAAAAAAATAGGAATTGGCATCTTAAAAGCCGATATTCTCAATTTATGCAATCCTCAAGAATAAGAATTAAACAGAAAGAGAGAGGAGGTTGACCATGAAAGATTTTGATGTACTTGTCAAAAATTCACAGAACACAACTAGAACATGTAACTCCCATAGAAAAATGTTAAGACAAGTACATCTTTCAACGGTTTAAGCTCAAAAGATGTGGTGTAAGGAAGTACATGCCCAAAGAGAAACATTCTGAATTGGCTGCCTCTTCAGAATGTAATCCACCTTCCATTGCAACACTACCATGACTTTACGTTCAGAATTTACTTTGAATTTCAGTTGTGTCATTTTTAGAGGAAGTATCTATTGCAAATTTGCAATGAGTACAAAAGAATCATGTGACAATACTTAAACAGAGTACTTCTTAGACAACAAGTAAAAAAGAATTAAAACAATAGCATTTAAGCCTATTAAACAATCATCTTAACATAATTGGCAATGAAGGTACTTCGAGGGGCACAAGCCACGAAGCTTCCAAACATAAAGAGGCCCATTCAACACAGTGCTGAGAATGCATACAGGAAAGAATTCTGAGAATTATGTTATGCACCCAAGCATGAAAGGTTGTTTTCACGAGCACATATAAGAAAACGTTACCCACAGTGATTATTGTATGACACACCTATATAAAACATAATATCTATCTCATAAGGAATATTAACCACTATAAATTCACAATTACTCCGGGGTGCAGTTACCAAAAGAAGATGAGAAATTACCTTCTAGAAGGGCATCACAAACTTCTTCAACGGTCACATTCAGTGCCCTTAGTGAAATTGCAATGTTCTGCGACTTCTTTGGATCAAGCACCCTATTCTCTTGGTTTGGTGAGGGAAGAACTGCACGTCGAGCCGGTTCCTTTGGATTCGAGTTTGGGGTATTAACAACAAACAATGATTCAATCATCTCCTCATTTAATCTGCAACAAACCCAATCTATATAATATAAGAGAAGCAACACAAATTTCACAATATAAAAAACATAACAATTACATAACAACAACAAGACTAGTTAGCAAATGAGTTCAGTATCATACTTGAAGGAGCTCGATTTTAGCTGATCCCACACCATTTCACGATCAGAACTTGCTCTTACTTTGTCCCAATGCAAAGGTTTCAACTTCGGTTTTGGAGTCTGCTTATTTTTCTCAGCTTCTGAACTCAGTGGCAATTCCATAGGAGAAATCAAAGTTGGACTTTGAATTGCAACAGGCCTTGAAGGTGTTATCAAAACAGGTGGTTTCAGAACTGTCTGACGAATTGAGGGAGTCGACACCGGACTTTCCCAGTGTCGTGGTGGTGGCATTGGCGGTGGTGTTGGAACAGAAACAGCCACAGGCCGCTGAATAGTGCTCCCAATTCTCGCCGGAGACTCCACATTTTGATCCGAAACATTTGATTTTCTCGGTGATGAGTCTAGTCTTTCCTCCAAAGATCCTTCCGATGATGAGGAAGACGGCGAAGTAGAAGCTGAATTCCTCTTATCAGCCAATTGGATCATAACCGGTGGTGGCGGAGGAGGCCGTGGAGGAGGCGGAACAGCCTGAACTGCGACCAATTCCGGCGACTTCGGTCTCGAGCTTATTGGACTCAAACTGACCGGTGGAGAAATGCTTATAGAGATTGATCGAGTGGGTGAACCCGAACTCGAAGACGAATAAGAAGAAGAAGAACTTAATCCACAGCTTCTCCTGTCAAAATTCTCCACTGCTACGTTCGCAAACACTCTCCTCGAGGCCGATCCGGTGCCGATGGAGCTCTCGTGACCGGTCGGAGACCCTCTGGGAGAGTAAAACTCCTCATCTTCCTCGTCCCCACCAGAACCCACATCAGCATTTCCGTAATTATGTTGCCTGCTTAGAGGCGGAAGAGGGTGGAGCTCCGGCGAGTCCAATTTTCTCAAAACCACGTCGCCGCCGCCACTATTATTGTGAGCAACATGAGCGTCGATTCCACTACGAGAATTAACAAGTGTACCAAGATAAAGAAACTCAGAGCTAGGGGGACGCGATCTTTGCTGCTTGTGATTCCCATTAGCAGCAACATTCACCAATCTGTTACCATTATCGGATCTGTCAGTCTTGTCATTATTGAAGCTCCTTTTTCTCCGTCTTCGGATGGTCAGAAATATGGCAAGGGCGGCGACGACAGCGGCGGAGACGACTAGGGCGACGGCGACGGCGACGAGTTTGGAGTTGTGTTTGGATCTGGAAGTGTGGGGGAGGTTGAGGGAGGAGATGTTGGCGGGGAAGGAAGCGTAGGAGGAGGGAGACGCAGGAGGCGGAGGAGGGGAAGGGTAGGATGGGAAAAAGGGCTGCTGGTTGGGGGTAGAAGTGGAAAATGGCACTTTGGGGGTTGTGGGTTGAGGAGACGGTGGCTGAGATGGGGGGACGGAGTCCACTGGGAAAAAGGGTTCGTGGAGGATCCGGCGGTTGTGGGCGGTGGCGGTGGTGGTGGAGGTTGAGGATTGGGGTGCGCAGGATAGGAGGAAGAGGAGGAAGCTTAGATAGATGGGGAAGTGTGTGTGCATTGTTGTGGATTTAGAGAGAGAAAAGAGAGTCTGTGCGTAAGTAGAATGTAGTGTTGGGTTGCTTTGTGGGGACTGTTGAGTCTATACCCTGAGAGAGAGAGAGAGAGAGAGAGAGAGAGAGAGAGAGAGAGTGAGGGAGGGAGGGAGGGAGGGAGGGGGGGGGAGAGAGAGATGGAATACACACTCCCACAGAATCAGAGAATGTGTCTGTGAGAGAGAGAGAGAGAGAGAGAGAGAGAGAGAGGGGATGAAGAAAGTGGTGGTGTGCAAAAGTTTGAAACAATGTGAATATTGGCTGCTTCCAGCTAAGGTACTGTTGTTGGTAAAGTGTTAATTTTTCTATCTATTTTTCGTCAAGCTAGGTGGGCCCAATTATAAAATTAGACTGTTATAGCATCCCATATGAGCTTCTTTTTTAGTTCCATGAGGCAAATATTGTACGGTATTTTTTTTTTCCCCTCATATTCCTTATCTTTTTGTTTTTTTAACCTAAGATTAGTTAATGTGTAGTCAAGAAATGAAAATGAAAGGAGATGACCAAATTTTGGGTGTCTTTAGATACTAATCATACTAATCATAGTATATACATCTAAACCCTTTTGATGAAAAGCAATGGCATATAAATTGATAACTTTTGCCCACGGGCAATCTATTTCAATGTGTACATCATTTCAGGCAACCAAAGTGCTAGTTATTCTCTTCTTTCTCTTTTTCTTTTTCTTTTTCTTTTTTTTTTTTTTTTTTTTTTGAAAGAAAATTGATACAGTGAGAAACTATTAGAGTTTTGATCCATGTGAACATAAGTGTGCCACGACAGCAAAATTAAAATGACACCTCAGCTAAAGACCACGTCAGCATACTTGGAAGAACCAAGCCAAATAAAAAAACAACAGTCAAATGATGGACCTAGAGTCTCGTTGCATAGAAATCAAGTGCTGTAAACTCGGTTCACCGAACGGACCTAAAACCCCTCGATTCACTCAGACTGATCGACAGACCTAGAGGCTCGATCCCCCAAAAAGGTCAAAACAACAAGACTCGATCGATAAACCCAGAGTCTTGATCAACCTTCGACCAAACACAACAGCAAGCGATGGACCTAGAGCCTTGTTTCATAGATATCAAGCGCCATAACGGTTCATCATACCTAGAACCCCTCGATTCACTCAGACCGATTGACGAACCTAAAGCCTTGATCCACCTCCAACCAAACACAATAGTAAACGATGGACCTAGAGCCTTGACGTGTAGATATAAAACGCAACGGGCTCGGTTCACTGGATCTAGAGCCTCTCGATCCACTCGAAAGCCAATCGATGGACCCAGAACCTTGATCCCTTAAATTCCCTCGAAAACTAATCGATAGACCAAGAGCCTCGATCCCCAATCCCGTCACCCCTCGATCCACTCGATCGAGGAACCCAGTCGATCTGACGTCAAACACGTCTCCCAAATCCAATGATGGAGAAAATCGATCCCTCAGCAGATCAATAAAATCTAGTGAAGTCAATCGATGAACCTAACACCTTTAGTCAGCTCAAGCACCGAGTAAACCAAACTGTTAAAATGAAGAGTTATGGTAGAACTCTTTAAAGCCACTTGGGGATAAACGAGGGATCTTGGATTAGAGGATAGGAGATCAGTTTTGTCTCGCGAAAGTAAACCCAACTTTGGGAAAAGTGAAGAAAATCTAAAGCAAAAGCAGGGAGACCCTTACAATCATCATTAATGCCCAACTACCACCCTCTAATAGGCCAAATCACATTTAATGGGGTCATGGGTAAACCAACCCTTCAAGATGTGAAAAGTATGCCGACCTAATAATAGGCCTGAAAAGGCTAAAAGGTTAAGGCATCATGACCTATTAGGGCATGGGTTATTATCTAGATTATTATCAATAACCTCAACATTTTAGGCTATATAAAGAGGGTGGAAGGAAGCATTGATGGCAGGAAAGAAAGATCATAAAAGCTTCATAAATTGATCTCTCTACAAAAGGCTTGATAGATTTCTCTCTACCATCACTCTAATCCCTACGAGTTGAACTGATCTCATTTCCCTCATTCCTCTCTCTTTTATATCCACCATATTGTTAAGTGATACACCCCATTATATATATTAACTTTGACTCCTCCAGGGTAATCAATACTTACATTTTGGCGACTCCGCTGGGGATATCCTAGCAAGAAGATGAATCCAGAAGAACCCAACCACCCTCCGGTACAGACGAACAAATCAGCCATCGGAGCCATCAGTACCGAATCACATTCATCAGCAAGATCCAGACATGGCCTGGACATAGAAGCCATTCTAAAAGAAGTGCAAAACATCAATGCTCAGCTGATGGACCGAATGGAGAAATTCGAAGGCACCCTCCAAGCACTTGACAGAAGGACATTCGTCCCCCCAATAACTAGCACCAAACCAGATCTCTACCCTTCTAGTCACCCAGCACTTACCACCAGTAACCTAATCGAGCTGAACATACCTGCAACAACCGAACCACCACCCTTCATCCAAACTCAAATAAACCATGTCCATGGCACAGATTGGCTTTCACAGCACAACTTAGCACCACACAATCCAACACACCAGAATGGCCCATTCCATAGCAAAGAGCATGTCTCCCCACCCACCTACACTCAAACACACCCCAAAGCACAACTCATCTACCCATCACCATCGTACACTCCACCCAAAAAATTTTTTACTAGATCCGAAGTCCAAGACCTTTTCAAAAAAGGGTGCTCTAATAGCCCAAGACCTTGATTTTGGTAATGAGCCCCTCTACCCCCGAGCAATAGCTTAGACACCATATCCCTACGGATATCTTGTCCCAAAATTTTCCCAGTTCGATGGAAAATCAAGAGTTCCACATGAGTACGTCATGCGTTTTGTGGAAGCATTAGGCCATTTCGACAACAATCACATCATCAAACTTAGAGAATTCTCCAAATCCCTCACGGATCTTGCATACCGATGGTACTTCAATCTCGAGCCCGACTCTATCAACACATGGAAGTAGTTAAAAGATCACTTCCTAACCAAATTCTTCTAAACAGAAGAGTAAGTCAGAACTCTTTCCCTCACAAAAGAGGCCCAAGAAGACAACAAGGACGTCCTTCATCAACCGTTTTAGCAACCGAGCAGAAGAATGCTTCAAATGTAGTAATGAAATGGATCTTGTCAATAACTGCATCCAAGGTATGCTACAAGTTTATCAATTACATTTGGTGAACTTACGGATAGCTAGTTTTGGTGAGCTAAAAATTGCAACAAGGAACCTCAAAGATCTCAGGCTAGCTTTACCTGTCACCAAGTACAAGGCCCTAAAAAACTCGAATCGTAGACTAGCACAGCTATCGTTAAAGAAAGACCTCGCAAAAGACTCGACCGAGCCACCCAGAGAAAACCTACGAGGGAAGAGCCACCATCATTCCCAATCTGCATCGAAGAAGTCAAAATACACTTGACCAATGGGTAAAAGATGGCGTTGTGGTTCTCCCAACTCCACATCAAGGGCCAACCACAACTGATAAAGCTAATGACGACATCTGCATTTATCACCAAGGCAACACCCATCCCACTTCTAACTGTTGGGGCTTACGCTGGCTTTTTTAGAGAAAAATGGTAGCTGGAGATCTTGAGGTCACACCTCCTAAGGATATCCATAAGTACCCTTATCCCAATCATTAAGCTGCATCCATTGCTCGTTACGACGAGCTGGAGGAAACTAGCCCAGGTCACAACACTAGCAAGCCTTACTCAGCTACTGCAACCGCACGGTCACAAGTGCATACAAAAAAAAGTTATATCCTTCATGGAGGCAAATAGACAGAGTCAAGGAGCCTAATATCAACCATTGTATGTCACAACATCATTCAAAAAAGTAGAGTTCAAACGGGCATTCCTCAACAATGGCTCATCGATCAATGTTATGCCCATCTCTACATTCAGGAAAGTAGGTATTCCAGATGAACGACTTATAAAGGAGACCATTGATGTAGCCCAATTTGGGAATGATCTTTGACACATGTTAAGACATGTCAACATCGATCTCATTGTTGGCAAGTTCTAGGCGTCAACCAAAATTCACGTATCGACAGTGACTCATCATACCACATCTTTCTCAATCGATCTTAAATACATCATTTCGGAACTGTGCCATCTACCTACCATCAATGTGTGATACCCCTGAATTTCCAAGTGCTGGTTGGCCATACCCACACCTGAAGACCCAGGGATATCAAAAACAATATGAGAATAAATGAACACAAAATACAACATGATAAATAAAGAATAAATAAAATGTTGAAAAGAAAATTAAAATAATAATTAAATCCTCAAAATAAATTTTATTAAATAATAATCTCATCTGATAACAATAATCCTCCAAAATACAACTCGGGAATCCATATTATGTGGACCCTTATAAAATCCCAAACTGAAATAACTAACAGTAATAAATGTCTACATCTGAATACTGAAAACATAAACTAGAATCCTATGTAGATGACTGGAAGAGTGATGATAACTGGTCTCTACTTTGCACGAACAATATCTACACCTGATACTAACATGAACCTGAAAAACAAATAGTGGGTCAGGCCCATAACAAGTTCTTTCTACTACATCACACAGAGACCTAATAAACGAATATATCCTAGTCAAGTCGTACAATAGCTACATAGTCAATATACATATAGATATACACTAAAAACTCTCACTGGATTATAAGGCAGACTTATCCTAATATTAGGCATCATGCAAAACCCATCGGTAGTCATGAGTACCCTCATCTACCAGAGCACATTCATATCCTATATATCCAGCTACACATCCCAGGGGCAATATAGCCTTCCTAACTATCAATCCTGATAACTCATGCTCATATCATAGAACATACATATATATATCCATGTCTAATAAATAATAAAATCCATATTTATCATCAATATCCTGATAATGGCATCACAAGGAATAAGTCTAAACTTATTAACCTGCTCACCTTTAATATACAACCATATCCTAACAATGGTTCCCACACAATCCAACAAATGACAGATAAAGATCAAATATATATATAAGATCACCACATACTGTAATAACATGATTATAATCATTTAAATCATCTATTACAATTGTTATAACAATTAAAGCAATATAAACATTCAATAAACAACTTATAATCCAATATATTATTCATAAATCACATTATGATTAACATCATTTATAATATGATCAATATAATTTATCAAAATATCCAATAATAA